ACCCCGTCGTTGTTTTTTGACCCCCAAAAAAAAACAACCAGACAACAAGCACTTTACTGCTACTACTACTAGTGGTACTAGCGCTACTACTACTAGTGGTAGACACCCCCCACCCCGGGACGTGTGGACAGTGCGCGGGGCGTGTGCGGAGGCGGAGGGGGTGGAAGAGGGGGTGGAAACCCGGTTCTCAATCTATGCACTGAAAATCAGTCTTTTCTTGGAGACTCCTGGAAGTTTTTGGATTCCAATGGAACAATATGGTCGATTTAAACGCCTTCTTAGGGTCTATGTAAACCCTGTAGAACTTCTACTTAGAACCTCTACCACATCCTAGAAACAAAAGCTGCAACCCCGTGGTTGTTTTTTGGACCCCCCCCTTCCAAAAGATGTTGTTGTCTCTACCCCCCCTAGAAACAAAATCTGCAACCCCGTTGTTGTTTTTGACCCCCCCAAAAAAACAACACAACAAAAAACAAGAAGCAGACCAACCAAGACTTGAGTACCACAACAACAAGAAGTCCAGCTACTAACATCTCTCCAAACCTTCGACCCTATCCCTAACAGAATCCCATTGAAATCCCTGACTTGCAACATGTCACAACTATGTTGGGCAACTGTTTTTCTCTCTACCAACAACAACAACAACAACCACAACAACAACCACAACCACAACCACAACATCAACATCAACCACAACCACAACCACAACCACAACCACAACCAACAACCAACAACCAACAACCAACAAACAACAATAATCCCTCCTTCCACTTTCTTTGCTCTTCCCCCTTCCCCTGTTTTGGGCCCCTGGCCGCCTGTCGGGCGTAAGCCCTTAATTAACACATATGTGTTCGAGACGACGTACGTTCGCCCTCCGTCATGCATTGCAACAACCCATATTTTCGATGCACACGCTTTGCGCTTGCCGCAGTGCACTAATGTACCTCCGCGAGTGCCCAGCGGCCTGCTTTTGAAAAGACAGAGTTATGCTTTTGGATTTGCAACGTCATGCTTCTGCTTGTGTATGCCATGGCTGTTGAAAGCACACCACCTGAACAATGCTGTTTGGGGTCGATGTTGGTGCAATTGTCTCTGAACCTCTACACCAGCCAAGTCGCTGAATTTCCTCCACCTCCACTGGAGTGGGCCCAACCTCACGCCACAACGTGGATGCAACGCGCGTCAGCAAAATCCACGTCCCAGTCTGAGGCTCAAGGTGCCACACTGAGATCATCTGAGCCTCCCTGCAGGACCGGATCGAAGCAAAGGATGCTTTAGAAGCTGTGTCGGAAAATGCTCCTGCGATGACAATGGTTGAATTGGCAGCGCTTGCTATTTGCAGTAAAAGGGCTGGAATGGTTTGCACTGTGCCACGACATGCAATACAGCTTTCAAGAATGCTACAGTATGTAAATACCCTTCATGGTACCCCTTGCTGCCAACTTAACTTGCTGCTACTTGCCCCTTCTTTTAATCTTTTCGTGAATTGAAAACGACATAGCAATTCTAGTTGCACTGCAATCAGCAATAACCAATCTACAATAGAATAAAGAAAACCAAAAGGGATTTTGAATCAAGTGCTATTTTGGATTATGATTTTGATATATATATATATATGTTGATCTGTATAAGGAATAATCTACTGACTCTGCAAACATGTCCAAGCAACATATGCAGCAATTGATCTGGAGTGGTGGCCACTTTGATGCTTGCTTCATTCCATTACAACTTGTGAGTCTAGTTGAAAACGATTGTTGGAGAAGGCCCACCCAAAACGCCAAGCTTCTTTCCGTGTGTGGGTCCCTGTCAGCGTTCTTTGTTCACAAACCTCCGCCGTGAATGAACCTTAAGCCACCTCATGTTTTTCTAATCTCCTCCGCCTCCTCCTCGAGTTGTGGAGCCCTGGCTGGCTGAACTAGCCATGCGGTCCTGAGCTGGGCGCCGTTGGCTCGCACATAGAAGAAATGAGTAAGAATCGTCTTCATCAAAATGTGCCCTGCTGCTGCTGCTGCTGCTGCTGCTGCTGCTGCTGCTGCTGCTGGTGCTGGTGGTGGTGGTGGTGGGCTTTACTTGTGTCGTGCTGGGCGTAAGCCTTCTGCAGTCTCTCATCCAACCAAGTGCCTGACGCGCTCCCAACTTTTTGCGGCTTCCTTGGGCTGGAAGCGGCGACCTCCTACTCTGCTCACCCAAGGTCCCATTGTAGTTCACACCTAGTTGCAAATGAGCCTCTCCCTTGGCCTGCCCAAAGACTCAAAGTCGATCTGAACTTGGTTAGGCTCAGCAGCAGCTTCCTGCCAGGGTGCTGCCTTTGACTGTTTGAGGGCACTTGTCAAGTCAAGGTGCGGGTGCCCAAGCTGGCTTCACCCACCTGGCCTTTTTGGGTGCTGGCAGAAGAGATGCCAAAGTCCCAGGTGCTAGAGGAATAGACTCCTTACTCTCTGCCACCTGCGCCGAAAGCAGAAATCCTGCAAGAAGCATGGTCACCACCGCAAGTGCTTGAAAGTATTCTCGTTCACCTTTTTGTGTCTGTAGACCCATGCTGCATGTCAATATCTTAGACTCGCACAGGTGCGATGTCATCTTCGCTCGAAGGGTCAGAGTCCTTCCCAAAGCAGTCACATGTCACCGCTGCATCACAACAATTCAGAAGTTTTCACCAGTACTACTATATATCTGAGATTACCTGAGTTACTACTGGAGTCCGTCAGGAGTTTTCACCAGAGATGAACACCCGAGTACAATCTTTTCTCACAAACCTCCTCGTGGCTGCCGGGTGCTGTCTTTTCCAGTTCCTGCGCCGATCAAAATGTCCATCTGGGTTTGGATCGTTGAAATGCTCAGCTGACCTGTCTCAGCCCTGAGGACTTCGGCACAAAATATCACTTTCAACACACCGCACTCGCTGAGTCATACAGCCCGGTCCCCGGCGTCTGGTTCAATGGATTTCTCTGGAGGGATAGCAAAAATCAAAGGTCGAGACACTGGCAACTTTGCATAGTCCAGGCCTCAAAAGAATGCGGGGAAGCATGAAAATGGGGTGACAAAAATGACGACAATGTCTGACCAACTGTGCGATGTTGTGTGACAAGCAACTGCTGGTTGCATGCTGCTAAGTCTGCAGCGCACAACACGTGGCCTGCATGAGCCGTTTGCTCAAATGGAAGCATGGCATGTCTGTACATTCACAAGTCAGCAATCCAAAGCAGCAAGAGCTGTACATTCAAAGCTTACTTCTTTTGCACTCACGTCTCTCGCACTTCCATTTGGCCCTGCCTCTTCACATGCTCATGCGTTGACTCGTCGCTCTCATAGCCAACCAAAGCCATCTATGATGGTCATTCCCATGTATATATTGACTCTGCTCTCCTGTCCGGGCAGTCCGGATTCCGCCTGTTGAAGAGCTTCCAGACTGGTCAAATATCATATTTGTATATATTATCGCATATGTATATATACTATACACGCATATACACGCCATTGTAAGTTATATACAAGTTCTTGATCCAGTTTCTTACTTGGAAGATCTTGGAACCAAGTTTCAGCTAACAGTGCAAAGAAATTGGACGCTAGAGAACTTGAGCAGGTGGTGCAAGCGTGTGCTAAGGTGGAAAGATGTCTGGAATCCCGGAAAGGCGTGAACTCACTACAAGGCGGCAAAGCAAACCTGCAACCCTCTGCAGCAGCTTGAAGACTTGGCACAAACTTTCACCAAAAAACACGCGGCCACATGCGACTTCATTGAGTCACTTCATTGATGGGACCCTCAAGTTGGACCAAATCAAAATGGCCAATGCGTTCTCACAGAACTGGAGCCCGCAGGTCCAGCTGTGAATGACAAAGTGCCAACACCTCAGTAGCCGTTTTCGATGAGGCGCTTCATGAAGGGGGTGATG